GGGGGGGGGGGAATCTGTGTATGTAGGTCCTAGCAGTTCAAATTTGTGTTGTTCAAAGGTCAGTGTAAATTGTACAGATTTTTTTTCCAACAATGAAGGAGGTTATAGCCTTAATTTCTGTGCAGTTCAACAGCTGGTTACACTCAAAAAACATTGCTTGACCTATGGTGTTGCCGATGTTAAGAACAGTCAGACTCATGGAGACCCTAGGAATAACAGATCTGAACCCTGCCCTGTTCTGTGCCATCCCCATGACTTCTAATACGCTTGAGCTCACTGTTACTGTCACTGTGTCAGTCCACCTTTTTTGGCAGATCTTCTCTCCCTTTCCCAGCATGTCCCCTCCTGACAACATGTCCAAGTATGTGAGATGAAGTCTCAGCATTTTCAAGGAGCACCCCTCCTATAAGACAGACTTGTTTGTTCTTGGCAGAAGTGGAGAATTTTTTTTACACAAATGCTATATTTAAGACAACACATTTTGTCTAAACTACCTTGGAAACACAAGTCTTCCAACCAATCATTCCTTACATTTGCAATCAGCTCCATGACACTGTTCTTCAGATAGAACTTCTCCAATCGAGACATGCTGTTCCACCGGAACCTGGCCACCAAAAAGGAGAAAGTCAACAGAGCAACAGATGCCTTCTCCTCAGGAAGGACTAACTTGGTCTGGCCTACGAAATTATGCTAGCAGTTTTACTAAGTAACCTTCTGATTTTGCACTTTTCAAAAGAATGGACAAACCTAGTCCTTATTTTGCCAAAATGATGATATAGAAAAATTCTTAAGGAAAGTTTCATATATTAATTAGAATCCATACAGGAATTACACACAATTTAGCTTTCCCGTATCAGCAAACAATATTTGGGAGAACTCTTAGTTGCTGTTTCAGAGACTACAAACTCGATACCACCAACTGCTTCACTGTGCTATGATAGGCACTGGATACAGGAGACGCAAACTTGGAACAGTATTCAGTTATTCACATAACCTTGCTCTGCATGTGCCATTCAGAGAAGGTACACACGCAATGTTAAAAAAAAAAAAAAGAGAGAAAGAAAACCAAGAGTTCAATGTCTAATCAGAAATTTATTTTCCTATACATTGCATAGCTCTAAAAAGACTTTGGAGTCTGCTGATATATAGTTAGAACTCAAAGCTGGCTGAATGGCTTAGCACTCTCCCTCTCATTGCTTGTCAAGTCAGAACTTACTCATAACTGACCCACCACTGGGTTTTCAAAGCTGTAACTTGTAGAGGAGGATATTGCTCATCTTTCTCCACAAGAACCACTGATGGATTCAAATCACTAGAGAAGGTTGGCAGCTTAACTCCCTAGAGGACTAAATCACCAGAGTTCTCAGCTAGTAATTTTTGGAATGCTCAGTATGTACTAGGTTCTTTATAGCAGTGAAGAAACTGAACAGCAAAAATGTTAAGTCCTGAATGAAAGTTCCCATGAGGTTCTGATAACCTCTTGAGGACCATTTTCTTCCTGAAGACTGCTCTTTTCTACTTACCTAAAAAAAACATCTCTATGAGTTATCTAAGAAATAAAAAGTTGCTCTCTCACATACATCAGTGACAGTAATCTCAAAATGCCTTACTTGACAACATGTTCCAAGATCTGAAGTCCAAAATGCCTGACGATCGCAATCTGCGTTTTCTCAGCCAGCCTCAGGCCACAAGGGACACAGATTGGACACTTTTCTTTAAACTCTTCACAAAACTGAAAGATGAAAAGTTAAGTGTTTCTCTTGGGAACTAAGAGAGAGTGGAGATTAAAAAGCATTATCTCTAGAAATTCTAATCCAGGCTGAATTTTTAAGTTAAAAAAATTTTTAAAAATCCCCAGGTCAATATGAAAAATCAATAAGCATCTGTTTCACTCTGCTCTAGATTTCTCACATAATGGTCTATTGTAGAGTGAAAGCATTTGGCTATGCTTGAGCCTGGCAGAAATGGCTGTTTGCTTTGGCTATCAAGCTGATTAAAAAAGTCCTACTGCCTCAAAACAACTATGAGATATCATCTCACCCCAGTGTGAATAGCAAAATTTAACAGAACAGCAACCAACAAATGCTGGCAAGGTTGTGGAGAAACTGGAACCCTTGTTCACTGTTGGTGGGAGCGTAAAATGGTGCAACCAATGTGGAAGGCGCTATGGCGCTTTCTCAAAAAAGTTGCAAAGAGAGATACCATTTGACCCAGTAATTCCACTACTGGGAATATACCCCAATGAGATCATAACTGCCACCCAAGCAGATATATGTACACCCATGTTTATTGTGGCTTTGTTCACAATAGCAAGGAGATGGAAACAACCTAAGTGCCCATCAACAAATGAATGGTATAGTCATACAATGGAATACTTCACTGCATTGAAAAACAAGGAACTCATGCAATATTATTATAATGGATGACCCTGGAGTGAAGTATCTCAGTCACAAAAGGACAAATACTGCATAGTGCCACTGCTGTAAAACAGGACTGATATCGCGATAAAGGGAGAGTGAGAAAGATGGGATAAATAACGTATACTACATTGAAACAGATGAGGGAGAAAACTGTTTAAAAAGGATATGTGATTAGGAATTTCTGTCATGAGAGTCCAGAGTGGAATGGACCCGAGGGGAGGGACTGTAAAACAATGATAGAATTTTACTTTTC